TCTGTCTCTGTCTTTCTGGCGAGGGCATGCGCCCTATAGCAAAAACCTCTCAAGAAAAATTAAATAAATAAATTAATTAATTAATTAAATAAATAAATTTGACCAGAGAGGAACAAAGTGAAGGAACAAGAGAGAAAGTGAGAAAGCAAGCTGTCAGGTCCAGGACTCGAATTGCAGTTGGCAATGTGGGAGTCCAGCATCCTTAACCACCATACCACCTGCCGGTCCCTGGCTTCTATTTTCCTATATCCCTATCTAAATCTTATCCATCCTTCTGGTCAATAAACTCATCTACCTAGGTCTCTGAGGCCACCCTTTTCTGGTCACCCCCAAACCAGATGAATTTTTTTTTTTAAGACAATTTTTGCTATAGGGCATGTGCACTCACCAGAGAGACAGAGAGAGATAAAGAGACAGAAAGTGAGAAATCACCCCCCCAGAGGGGTGGTAATGATGCAATCCCTTCTCCTCCATTCTCCTCTTAGGATTTTGAGCACACACGCACACGTGCCTGGCATGAGTTTCAAGCTGCAGAGTCCAGGGCTCGAACTGTGGTCATCCATGAGGGAGTCCAGTGACATAAGCACTATGCCATCTGCTGGTCGCCCAGATCAATTCTGACATAACTGCATTGTGATTGTTTGAGTGTTTACTTAAGAAGGTGGAGGTTTCTATCATCTTTTCAACTGGACTATAAATTTCTTGAAAACCAAAAAGTCGTAACTTGTGCTTCTCTGGATTCCCCTTAAGTGACCGCTCAGGACGTTCCAACTCTGAACTGACTGTATCTATAATAAGTCATGAACAAAACCTACGATTCCTCAGTGCGTCCAGTGCCCACCGTTCTTCTGAGATGGGCAGGTGCGGCTCTGGGGCCGTGAACGGGTAACCGACGCCAGCTTCCTTCAGGGTCCCGTCTGCATGCCGCTCCTTCGCAAACTGGCTCTCAGTGACGAAGAGGTCGTCCACTTCTGCTTTCCCAGAGGTGCTCAGCGAGTGCGACTGAGGTTTCGATGGCAGCAAGGGAGAGGCTAACCCCAACTCTCTGTCTGTACAAGGACACAGAAGGGAAGAGTACACTTTAAGACCATGTTTAACTCCCAAATTCAGGGAAACATTTCAGCGTTCAGCAAATACACAAGGGGAAGTAACTGGATGAAACAGAGATCATCTGGTGAGCACAGGACATGGCACTTAGAGCAGCGCGATGCAGGCACAGAAGGCTCCCCTGCAACGCCTGCTAAACCGGACGGCTGGTGCCAGAGCCTGCATAAACCAAGAGTCCCACAGTTTCCTTGCATTTTAACAGACAAGAGACCACATTCTTCCTGGTAAACTTATTTGCTCAGTTTACCTGGACTCTGCAGGCTAGGGACTGAAATGCCGTGATGGTCCCCTTTTAATTTCGGAGGTTGCTCCTCGTCATTGTCTCCTCTGTAAAAGACCGGAAACAATCTTTCAGTGTCAGGAAGTGTCTAAACTTGTCGCTACAAAACCTAAGAATGATCCACTTCTTTTCTGGCCCAAAAGCACAAACTAAGCCTTTCTCCAAAGGGGAGGGTCACTTACTCGCATGGCGGTGATGGCGGTAACGGGATGGGCTTTGTGGACTGCTCCTTCACTGACGCGGCCATGCGGCAGATGAGGTCCTGCCAGCTGCCGAGGTGCGAAAGGAATCCGAGATGCAGTACGAAGAAAGGAGAGAAGGGACACTCTTTACATACACTCGGCAAGCAAAAATGCACAAAAACCAGACGGAAAAACTTCGGTCTGCCGGGGACTATCTTCATTTTGAGATTCCAAGACTACACTTGCAAGAAAAATCTAACCACATTATAGATACATCGTCCATTAGCAACTTGACTTGAAACTTTTGAAAATTTTTTCTTCAGAAAATATACTTTCTTTTCTTCCACTTTTTTCTTTTTTAAATCATTATTATTTTTTATTTACTTACAGTCACTCACTGTACATCAATACAATATACAAAATGAGATTTTCCCATCCAGAATACATTGTATATTAGCTCAATGAAGGATATTACCATACATACTATTGTCAACAAATAATGTTCTATTTCTTATATATTTTGCCCCCCCCGACTCCCTCCCTCTCACTTTCAATAAAGTAGACCCAAAAATGAAAGGTGTCGACCTAAAATGGAGCCAGCACTTGAAAGAGTACCTCTACACAGAGGAAGTGCTTGGTCTCCGTGTAGCTTTTGGTTTGCTGAGTCCTATTATAAAAGCACACTGGCGTCTGTGGAATAATAGTGTACTCGGGATAAACAGAAACTGGCAGGGCAAGGGACCCATACATACACGGTCTTCTCAGAAACCGTCTGTGCCACCAGCTCATAAATCTGGGCTCCATTGTCTGACATGGAGATGACGAATAAAGCTTTGTTATCTGGGGGAAAACAAAACAAGACAAAAGTTACTCCACCACTGTGATCTAGGGGTCGTGAGATATGTTTCCAGGGTCTTGGTAACATGCAGCATCTTAATCTAGCAATAGATACAGGTTACATATGTTTGCTTCGTAAAAATTCACCAAGCTACTATAAGCTCTTCATTCACCTTGAAAACAGAGAATACATTTCATCTAATTTGCTCAAGAATATAGAAGTAAAACCCCAAGCCAGAGATGCTACTTGATGACAATGGTCATCTTACGCAGCGTTACCGTGAGCCTGGAGGTTAGCATTGGTGGGGACACACTCACCTGTTGCCACCTGCCGGACCAGCACTGTACTCAGCTTAATGACGGGGCTGAACGTGTGTTTGCTATCAGCTGTCGATGCCAGAATCTTACTGTGGCACCTTAACACCAGCCTATCATCCTGCTTCTGCAGCAATACCAGAATGTCTTCCAGCAGCAGTGTGTACAGATCTAAACACAGAAATGCAGGGAAGGTGATACGCACAAAAACTGACACGGGTTTATTAAGCTTCACGACAATTCAACAGAGAAATTGTATTTCTGTTACATCCGGTAAATTGAAATAATCCACTGGCATATTGTCTTTCTAGGTTTCACATGTTGATAATTCCCTTGTATTGTATTTCACTTGTGTCAGTCTTTGACCAACAGGAAATAAAAAATGTTTCCTTGCCATAGTTTGAGATGCACTGGGTTAAAGAAAGCTTACAAAGACTCAGTGTAACATAAAAATGAGGGGAAGAGGGCTGAAGCATGACAAGAGTTTTCCACTGCATTCATAAATGAATACTTAGCACACTTGACATAAGATAAAATAACACTAGCAGAGTGCCTTTCACTGTACAAGCGACAGAGGTCGGCACTGTTAGCTGCTGTAAAGAAAACTGTGACGAGTTCTCTCTTCCGTCTGACACAAGGACACTTTCCTATTCTCTCTTTCTCCACTCTCCCCAAAATGGACAGACGACATCAGACCTACCAATAGATTTATCTCTATTCACCTTCCACACCAATGGCCCTTCGTGGATCATCTTCCTTTTTGTTAAATCTAAATTCTGCCAAAACAAGGAGAATTACAAGTTATTTCCAAGCACTGAGACTACATTCTACATAATTAATAGTCTCTTCCCAAGCAATTCTTCATATAAAAAATGCCATTTACATTCAACTATCATTATTGCTGTTTGTCAGTTCTTAAAAATGGAATGAAAACCATGTTAAAGTAACCTGCAGAATATTTTCTGCAAAAGAGTATCTTGCAAAAAAACACGGAGGAGTACTACCTTCCAGATCATACTCCAAACAGAAATGAAGCTACAAACATTCAGCCCCTAGACCTTAGTCCACCCCGTCATTCTTCCATGAGTAACTAGAGGGAGATGGCCTGGCAACGTGCTTGTCTGGAACAGAGCCCTGGGTTCTCAGGCTCGACCCCCAAGAACGGTCTCAGGAGCTGCACCATCACACCCAGTCCAAGTACTACTCTCAGGCTGGCGCCAAGTACTATTTCTCTAGGAAAAAATCTCATTCCGTGCAAGTTAAGAGGATAAACTGATATATATGGAATAAAAATAAATTTTAAATACCCACTAAATAAATCTGTCAAGCAACCACCAAGTGAAATGGTACAAATTCTAACAAGTCATTAAAACGAAATCCTGGATACTAGAAGCAGTGATTAGTAAACATTTTACCATCATTTTTCTAATAGTTTAAACTTTAATGCTTCTGAAGAGCTTCATGGAAAAATAATGGCGTTATCTTTCTTTCCTGAATGATCTGGAAAGTTCCTGTAGTAAACCAGCCTACTCTTATTCAAACTACAGACACAATAAAAATAAATTAATAATCACTGCGTTCCTTAGTCTCCTGCCGATTCCTGTTCTGTCAAGTTAGTTTCACACAAAATATCCCTCCAAGGAATACTCACGTAATCTTCACATAGATCAGACGTTTAAAAGGCAGAACAAAACCGGAAGTACTACAACCTACGGCACAAGAACCCCTCCTGCTGAGGTAGTCCCCCTGAGACCTCAGCTACCTGCCAGGCTCTGGCATGTTTCATTTTATGTTTACAGCTTGATTATACCCTCTCTCACCCTGAGCTCCTCAACATTCGGGCACTCTGACAGCTTCAGATTGGAGGTGTCGAGGCGACGCTGATAGTCCTCGAGGCGCTGAAATGAGGCAAAATGGAGCCGAGGTTACTGCTTTGGTCATCAATGACCTCATTTTTTTTTTCTTTAAATAAATAATTTATTTAATTCCATTTGTTGTTATTATTATTTTTTAATTTGACTAGAGAGAGAGAAAGAGAAAGCGAGGAAGCAAACCACCAGGTCCAGGACTCGAACTGCATTTCCCTGAACTCCTTGCAACACCAGACTGACACCTCGCTCCTTCTGGAAACAACTCTTTCTTTTTAATTTGAGCATTTCAAACTAAGCTGCAGATGTAAGGATACAATATCCCTAAATATTTCAGTATACATATCGTTTACATGGCTCAGTATTTATTTAGTTTTTTTAAAGTATAATTTATATACAGTGAAATGCACACATTAAAGTGTACCTTCCCACATATTTTACAAATGTGTACACTGTGAAAATCAAACTCCTAGCAAGCTATAAAATACTACTGTTACCCCAAAAAGGCTCCTCATACATCTTCCCAGTTAACTTCTACCTGATGCCTAGAAAACAGAAAAAATTTTGCTGTTTTTTTCTATCACAATTTAGTTAACCTGCCCGGAAGGTCATATAAATAGATTACAGGAATGTATGCACTTTTTGCGTCCGTTTCTTCTACCTGGCATGTCTGTGAGAGTCAGCCAGGCTGTGTATGTCAACAATTCATTCCCTTTTTATTGGCAGTATTCTATTCTATTACTATACCACAGATGGTTTACTCATTCTCCTATAGACAAATTTGTGGGTTATTTCCAGGTTTTGGCTATTAACAACAAAGCTGCTAGGAACCGGCAGTTGGCGTAATGGTTATGTCACTGGGATTTCACTTATTCAACCATGGTTCGAGTCCCAGACCTGGCAGCTTAAAACTCATCCTGAGCACATGTGCTCAAAATCCCAAGAGGAGAAGGGACTACAGTGTGACCATCCCCTGGGGGTAATTTCTCGCTTTCTGTCTCTCCGTCTCTCTGGCAAGTGCATGTACTCTATAGGAAATAAAAAATGTCTCTAAAAAAAGAACAAAGCTGCTTCAACATTTTCGCGCTAGCCTGTTGTGGCAAGTGGGTAAATCACTAGGAACAGAACTGCTGGACAAAGGGTAGACACATCCAATTTACAGAGAGATTGCCAGGGTTCCCTCTAGGGTTTTAATTATCATTTTACACCAAACAGTATATTTCAAAGTGACTGTCCTCCTCCAGCCTCGACAGCAGAGCTGTCTCCATACTCAGTTTCTAAGAAATGATGTCCACGCCCAGGCATTCACTGGGCTCTACACGCTCACAGCTTAAACGTTCACCTCTGACACTGGAAGAGGCACAGCCAGTGCTCTTGCACCCCCACCCGCTTCCTCCACTGAACTCCCCACCCTTCCCTGCTCACCCTGCCCACCTAAACATGCGAGCCACTCCATGGGGGCTTATTCTTGACATCACCTCCTCTTCCCATTCTTCTCTAGGTCAGACACAAGTCCTGTCAGCCTGACCTTTTGCTGAATAAATACGTTTTTGACTCTTGCACTTCGCCAACTTACTGTCATCCATCCTGCGGCTTCTGCACTATCTGCTTCGACTCAGTCTCCACAGAGCGGTCTTGGTGACACTCGCACCATGAAAATCTCAACACTGTGTTCTCAAATGTCTCTAATGAATTCCTTTTGCGTTTAGAATGAAAATCGAAATCTTTAACATGGCCCAAAGAACCCTGAATGATTTAGCCCTGGGCTGCTCCACCTCATTTTATATGTTTTATAGCACTCTGATTTAGGTGTTCAGGCATGATCCTCAGTGATCTAGTCTTTCGGTTCCTCAAGCAGACCATGCTTTGCTCCCTGTGACCCCGGGGCTGCCCCTCCATGCTGTCCTCGTCCATCCGACTCCCCTGCAGGGTTGGGAGACACAACAAGCTGACAGCTCTGGGAAGCCCTCAGAGGGCCCTACTTATGTACTCACAGTACCTCAAAACTCTCCTACTCTGCGACCACAGTTGATCCGAAAAGCTCACGCTATCACCTGCTAAATGCCTTTCTCTCCTGCTAGGAAACCAACCCGATGAGGGCTGTTCCTGCTCTCCTTGGCGACCACTCTCCTCCCTGTGCCCAGCATATGGTAGTGCCCTATCAGCACTGTGCAGAGAGCAATGGAGGAGCGAGCAAGCAAGCAACCCGAGGTGCTCAGGAAAGCCAGACTCCATCTTTATTCCATCACAGATGTATCTGGACCTACAAGTACACGAGGAGTCAGCAAATGTTCCGCTTATCAATTATGCAATGATGGCATCAATTATTATTTAGATTCCAGGTAGTATTGATTCAGTATTTTCCCGCTGTCGCCCGGTACCTTCCAGCTTTTCCCTTTTACCTGCTTGTTTTCTGCCTCTCTGACGGCTTGGTTTACATAATTTAAGATCTGACGACAGTGATCTGCGGCCCTCTTCACCTTCTCCCTGTCTGTTGGCCATTCTGAAAGCAGGGAAGAGATTCACAGTATGAACTAGAGGAAATCGGGTAACAAGTATGATCTACGCACAGACATGAGATTTCATTTTGTTGCAACACTCAGAAGTACAAACTAAGACCTTGAATATTTTTATGGCAGAATCTCAATTCTGGTAGTCTTTGGACAAGGGAGACTTCTTATGACAATACTTTAAAACCTAAACATGTTAATGTTTTAAAGATACCGCAGTACAGAACCCCAAGTTTCTGTTTACAGACAGTATCGGGTCACTATATTACGAATTCCAGGGGACAGGTCTCATTCACTTTGTAAATGGGACCCCGACCCTTGGAATTCTATCTGCACTGCCTACGTGATTATGCCTGGAGAAATTGCTAAACAATATTTTTTTGAATAATATAAAATTATTTCCAAACAAACACCTTTATATTGGAAATATTTAAAAAAGAAAATAGATTACAATATTTATTTAACTGAAAGATTAAATTCACCAAAATGTGTTGAAGCTACACTATTATGTAAAAATTTCCCAAATCAGAGTATCCAAAATTATAATGTTCCCAACAATAATCTAATGCTATTGAACAGACATACTAACGTATACAATTAATGAATGCGTATAAACCACTTTTGTGACCAGGTACTGTAACTTTAAATATCCCAATTACATATTCATATTCTCAGATAGAAGTGTATAAGAAACAGAAGCTTGAGTGCATAAAATTATTAATGAGAACTACATTTAAGAGCCAAAATCTCAACAGAGAGACTTAGTCACTTCATGTTTCAAAATATGAGAGTTGGAATTAGAATGTACTGGTTTCACTTAATACAAATGGGAATACATATATAAAGTATTTCTTCAGAGCAGCATAAACTTTCTTTAAAGCAGTTATGAGATACACTAAAACAAGGATTGACAATCTTTTTTGGTAGAAGAGGCAAATAACAAACATTTTACACTCTGTAGGCCAAACGACCTGTCCCGACTCTCACTCTGCCGTCACAGTGGAAAAGCAGTAGAGACATGTGAACACAGGTGAGCGTGGCTGTGTTCTGATAAAACTTTATTTACAAAAACAGGTAGTGACCCTAACTTGGCCCACAATCCATAGTTTGCCAAAGGCTATGACAGAGCAACTAACGGAGTACATTAAACCAAACAGATTGAAGGCAACTGGATGATGATGTGTTAAAAGTCTTGTCACTATTTGGAAATCCAATGCCAAGAGCCTGGAGAGCCTGTGGCAGGACCTTTCTGTTATTACTCCTAACATTCTGTGTCTCGGAGAGGATGCCATACCTGTGTACTTGGCAATATTATCCAACAGCAGTGGGTACTTGGTGAGCCTCTGCATTTGGGTGGGGATGATATCTTTCAGCTGAAGTCGACGGCACAGTGGATTACTCTCGGCATCCTAAAGTTAGAGGGAAATAACGGAATCTGTAACCTCGTTAGGAATGCAGCAGCCTAACATGTACCATGTGGTCACCACGTAAGTCTACAGCCTCACAGTTCTGCTTACTAAATCAAGATTGTTAAAAACATGTCAAGACCAATGTCGTTGCCACACTGTTCTGCTTTCTCCTTTAATCATATAAAGGGGCAAGGGAGCCTCCATCACTCCACCGATGGCTGCTCTGTCATCTGTGTCAGTAAGGACTGAGGCCCTCATGACCAACTCCAAGAGCTGTTCTCTTATGTTAGGGTACTTTAGCTTCGCCTACTCAGAACAGCGAGGTGTGGTTTCCTATGACTGGCATTCCTACTATAAGTCAGTTAATGCCCCATCTGCCATTCCAAGTAGGCACGATGGCTCACCAGTGTGGATACACCAACTCAGGTGTACCACGGGCCCACAAATGGTTCAGGGAAATGCCCGTTAGTAAATATCTGAGGCTCTGTAGGACATATAAAACCTCTCACTACTCAGCTCTGCCGTTTCAGTGTGGAAGCAACCATTCATGATGAACGAACACGGCTCTGTGCCGTAGAGAACACTAGCACGAGCGCCAAGAACCACACCCTCTGTGTACACTGTCATCCCATCACCTGGAGTGTGGACGGAATCCGAGTATGATAAGATTTATCACTCCTAATTAGGTTACTATCAGTGGACTCTGAGTTCATCAAAAAGGAGGCCTGTCTGGACAAACCCGACTTAATCAAAGGGGCCTTTAAAAGAAATCTGTGTCTGGGAGATAAATTCCTTCTGTTCTGGAAGAAAGCAAATACCACCTGTGAACTGCCTGAGAGGCCTCGGCAGAGGGAAATGAGCCTTATCTAGGAGTCAGGCCGGTTCCTAGCCTAGAGCTAGGAAGAAGGCAGGGACCAGGTTAACACATTTACAAGGAGAGAATTCTGCTAACAACCAGTGAGCCCAGAAGAGGACCCCAAGCCTGGGGGAGAAGTGTAGCTCAAGTCTGCTGAAACCTTGAAAGAAGATCCAGCTGAACTGTGGCTGTACTCTTAACCCACAAAACCCCTGCGATGACTACTCTGTAAGTGGCCCCCTTTGTGGTAATCTGTTATACTGCAACAGAAAGCGACGGCGCTGTGTTCCGACAAAACTGTTATCTGCAGCAAGAGAGGACAGGGGACACGGCCTGGACGCTGCAGTTTACAGACCCTCAATCTGCACCAATGTAGTAAACCCTAGGGAGTGTGACTACTGCTAATTCTTCCCTGGGCCCAGTGTAAGCCCATTCTCACACCGTGACGCTGTGACGATATTCCTCTAATACTATATGACTTGTTTCTTGGTAACATTATTTTAATAATGTAGATGGATTGTTTCCATATGCCCCTCCCCCCTTTTTCAATCTGCCAGAGGTGCATGTGCTTGCAAGAGACAGAAACAGAGACAGAGGGAGAGAGGGAGAAAACAACCCTGATGGGATGTGGTCATGCACGATCCCCTTTCCATTTCTCCAGCTGATCAGATTTGGGCACATATGTACATGCTTCTCAAGCTGCCTGGGCTGAGATTAGAACATTGTAGCTGACCATCCTTGTGGGACCTGCCTCCCAAATATTTTTATGATTTATTTATTTATTTTTGGCGAGGTTTTGCTATAGGGCACGTGTACTCGCCAGACAGACAGAGACAGATAGACAGACAGAACGCAAAAAAACACCCCACAGGGAGGATGGCCACACCACAATCCCTTCTCCTCCATTCTCCTCTCAGGATCTTGGGCACACATGCACATGTGCCCAGTGTGAGTTTAAGCCACTGGGTCCGGGACTTGAACTGCAGTCGGCTGCATGGGAGTCCAGCAACATAGCCATTACGCCAACTGCTGGTCCCTCCCAAATATTTTTGACTTTATAAATTCAAGTTTGTATATGCCATGATTTTAAAGTTTCTGATGAAACAACCAAAAAGTGCATGTAGATTTCTATGTCAAGTATTTTAATCCTGATATTGAGTTGTTGGAAAAGTCATGACACATTTTTGCATAGGAAAACACAAAAACTATGTCATAACTTTTCCAGCAACCCAATACATATCTGATATATACATGCAATTTTAATTTTTAATGAGAGAGAGGAGTGGGGAGAGAAAAAGAGAGAGATAAAGAGAGGTATTTTTTTCCAGCAGGGTTTCACCATGCCTCGATCCTCCTGCCCCAGCCTCCCAGTCGGCTTGGGTTCCGGCCATGTACCACAGGACCTGCAATCCGAATGCAGGTCTGTCCATATGTATGCACAGAGGTACCTACCGCCTGTAACGCTATGGCTGGGCCGTGACTTCTTCTTTATTATTCACCACTCCAAAATCATTTTATACCTTTTAATATACTGAAGAACTAACGAATGGCTTTTAAAAACACAAACCTAAATTTCATCTTTGTGAAAGACTGAGCTAAGCTTCTCCCAGTTTATTCTATAATAGATACAAACTTGTAGTTTTGGTTTTTTTTTTCCCCCTGCATGACTCACTCAACTCACTTGCACAAAAGTCTGGAATCGGGAGTCCTTTTTCTGACGAGTCTTGATCATTTCCAGGGCGAAAGGTTGGTTACTGCAAAAGGTAGCAGCAGCTTGCTTCAGCTTCTCCTCTCCTGGTCCACTGAACTGTGCCAAGAATGCAAAGGAAACAATAGAGAACCAGACACCAAGTTTATACGAGGCCAGGCGTGAGGAGACAACCACACACTCCTCTCCCCGCTTCTGTAAGGGCTCTCGAGACGAGCAGCAGAACGCCCACTGACGTGGGTATGGCTGGCTCTGTAATGAAAGCCCGGCCCTGACACAAGCAGGCTTTCCTGGTCACACGCCAATGTGCTCTTGCTCACAGCCTCCCTCGACTTAGTACCTTTCGGCCTACCCCACTTCTCAATTAGAAAGGTGGGCACCCGGGGCGGGGATGCCAGACACGAAGCACCTGGAGACTGAGATGGAAATTTCATTTTCTGAGTCCCTGACACCTTTATAAAAATTACTCTCAGTGCTCTAGGAAGCCAGGCCTTTGGATACTACGTTTCTTTCTTCCTTGCTATGAAACCCACCAGGATTATGAGCAAGTCATGACTTCTCTGGGTCAAAACACAATTAAATCGCTGCTGCTTCACCTTTGCAGAGGCTAGAGCTGGTTTGGGGGAGGATCCATGAGATTATGACTCTTTGGCTAAAAATACATACTTTTACTAATATTGGGTTGTTTTTCCATAGAAAAATATTTTTTCATAGAAAAATAAATCATGACTTTTTCAATGACCCAATATTTTTAATTGCTAAATTTAAGTCTGTATATGCCGTGATTTAAAAGTCTCCAATGAAACACCTGACAACTGCTTCACTCACAGTAGGTACCCTTATAAAAGTCAATATATTGTTTTTTAATACCACCTCTACCTTTTATTTTGGGGGGGGAGGTTTTTGCTATAGGGCACGTGCATTTGCCAGACAGACAGAGAGAGACATACAGACAGAAAGCGAGAAATCACCCCCCAGGGGGGATGGTCATGCCGCAATCCCTTCTCCTCCATTCTCCTCTCGGGATCTTGGGCATGCACGCACACGCACCCAGTGTGAGTTTTAAGCCACCGGGTCTGGGATGTGAACCGCGGTCGACTACGTGGGAGTCCAGCGACATAGCCATTACGCTAACTGCTGGTTCCCGACCACCTCTACCTTTGTAAGTAATTACCTAATGGTTTACAAAAAATCTTTCCATATGATCTTCCATTTGAAGTCTTATTCCTGAGTCTGTGCATGAAAACATTTGTTAACAAATCCTTCTGCAGTTCGTTTGCAGACAAAGTCAGAGTAGGACATAGACAACGTGTTATTTTAATCAGCCAGCCCAATTTTATTTATTTCTTAAAAACTTTGCCAGAGGATATGTACATTTAAGAGAGAGATAGAAAGAGAGGGGGAGAATCCCCCCCTTGAGGCAGAGTCACACTAAAATCTCTTCTCCTCCACTTCCCTCTCCTTCCAGGACTTTGGGCATGTATACGTGTGTGCCCGGCTTGTTCTTCAAGCTGTTGGGTCTGGGACTGGGACTTGAACCACACAAGGCATGTGGGACCCAGCTACCTTCACCACCACACCACAGACTGGTCCTTACATTCTTATTCTATTATAAATACGACTCAACATGTTTAAACATGAGACAGGCAGAACTTTGATGTGTTAGTCGATCAAAGCCCCATCCTAACACTGTACAATGAGCAGCTGGGTTACAAAAGAAAACCATGCCGCTACCATGAAGCCCATTACGGGACAAGTACTAGGACAGTACTCTCCAGAACCAATCTTTAAAATAGCGGGATAACACTAAAGCCCTGTTATGATTTTTGTTTGTGGGATTTCTGGCCAATGCTTTTCCCTAAGTTAATTCTTTGTATGTAACAGTTATAAACCAGCTTGTGGTTAGTCCGTTCTGTTCTTATTCAACTTTTTATAAGTATATTACATTGGTTAAAAATAGACTTCTTTGCACACGTTCTTAAAACATTTTGTCCCACTCTGTTCACACTTCTCCATCTCCTTTACCCTGTGACAGGTCTGTGATGCAGGCCCGACTGCACTTCTATAGCTCATTAATGATGAATCTCACCTGACACTCGGTGTTAAACATTATTTATAGGAGATGCAAAGGAAACTGCGTAGGAATCGAGATGTGATCTCTTAAGTCCAAATGACTTACAGCGTTTTAATTCAAGTTTGACATGGAAATTGATGCTATACCATGTCACATTATCAAAGGAAACGATGGTCTTATAAAATTTTCAATTTTCTTTCAAATTGAGCAGTCTGCTGTCAAGCCAATAGAACTGAGTTATAACTTCCACTGCTGCACTGAGATCAAGAAACAAAACGAGCCCCATTACCACAGAGTAGCCACAGAGCAGGCGGGTCTTTCAAGGAAGTTAAAGCCCCTTAATAATAATGCCAATTGAGTACAGCATAAAACGCTCTGGAAAGGGTAAAAACTGCAAGGCGAGCTTGCACCACGAGTCCCTGCTCCTGCTCCGAGCTCACTGTGTGAGAAGAGACCTCAGGTTGAATTGGCAGCTTCCGGGCAGTGATCTCACCACCAGTGAGAAGAGTAAGACGAAGACTGTTTTCGTCAACTTTCTAGTCTTAATCGCTTAAAAGTTATGATTATTGAATTACCAAAACCTTGTGGCACTTTCTCAAATAGTGTGTATTAATAAGTAAATTTCTGGGGACCAGTAGTTGGCGTAATAGCTATGTCGCTGGACTCCCATGTGGTCGACCGTGGTTTGAGTCCCGAACCCAGTAGCTTAAACTCACGCCGGGCGTGTGTGTGTGTGTGTGTGTGTGTGTGTGTGTGTGTGTGCCCAAGATCCCGAGAGGACAATGGAGGAGAAGGGATTGCTGTGTGGCCACCACCCCTGAGGGGTGATTTCTCACTTTCTATCTCTCTGTCTCTCTGGCGAGCGCACGCGCCCTATAGCAGAAACCTCTCCAAAGAAAAAGGGAATTTCTGTGGGCAAATCTAAACAGTTCCTGCTCAACGCATGCTAAGATTTTAAGACTATGCCATACACTTTACTATTACTCACAGCCTTAACTACAGTAGTACTTCCTTAAAATGTATAAACTCACCGCCTTGTAAGATGGTTTCTGTGTCCTGCACTGGGTCTCTCTGAGGCGAATTTCCATGACAACCTGTATGCTTCCCTTCTTGTACACACTTGTTTTAGGTCGAAGTACTCATTAGGCTTGAAATAACAGGCAGACTGCTTTCCTACTGATGGGCGGTTCTGCAAGGGCAGGGGTCTAATCTGTTTTGAGTGTCACTATCTCCCTAGCACCCAGAACATCACTGGTGAATGTACACTGACAAATGTCAGACGGAAAAACTGACAGAATTTAACAAACAGCTACTGTAGCCTCTAGACTGTTTCCTTTTACTATAGATGAGATAAAGTATTTTTCACTTTTCTACCACTATAAAAGCAGTTCTGGGGACCAGCAGTTGGCGTAATAGCTATGTCACTGGACTCCCATGTAGTCAACCACAGTTCGAATCCCGAACCTGGTGGCTGAAACTCAATGCTGGGTGCATGTGCGTGCATGCCCAAGATCCCGAGAGGAGAATGGAGGAGAAGGGATTGCGGCGTGGCCATCCCCCTAGGGAGTGATTTCTTGCTTTCTGCTCTCTGTCTCTCTCTGTCTTTTTGGCGAGCATACATGCCCTGTAGCAAAAACCTCTCTCAAAAAAAAAAAAAAAAAAGCAAAAAAGAATACTAGTCCTTTACATTTTCAAGAGTATAGGGTAAAATTGTTCTTATTAAAAAATAATTTAACTGGGAACCAGCAGTTAGCGTAATGGCTATGTCGCTGGACTCCCACATAGTCGACCGCGGTTCACGTCCCGGACCCGGTGGCTTAAAACTCACGCCGGGTGCGTGTGCGTGCGTGCCCAAGATCCCGAGAGGAGAATGGAGGAGGAGGGGTTGCC